AAATGATCGTTGAATGAATTAAGGATGCAAAACGATGTATCTAAATGGATTGGAATGCAATATGATGATTGGAACGGAAGTTAATTTTACTCAATGAAATTTAAACGCACTAAGATCACGAATTCCTATATAATGATCACCTAAAACTCTAATTTCACAATATGACAATACGATTGAATTATTGAAGAATCAGTGCTCCTAAATATATCCAACACACTCTCTCGAGCAATATTGAACATATTCATATATACCACCAGCCCATATCTCTATGATAGATGCACATATATAAGAATGCATGTGGTTTTATGAGTATCTAACGATTCATGTAAAGCATATGGGTATATCTCTATCATATATCGGACCCTAAGATGATTTATACCTTGTCAAATCTATTTTCCTTCTCTTGAATGCAAGAAATAAATCATTGAACATCACATAATTACGTGTACTTAATTATGAAAGAAATTAATGTATATAAATGATTCTAATAATCAAATATGCGTTTAATTGTCGAATTGCAAAAAAATATTACATAGTTCATTGATCTCCTAGTATAAGAATATTTAGCCTAACATGGAGAAAATAAAAGAAAACATTATTTCTTAAAGATAAAACATCATCGGGTTATGAATTTACGTGAAATCTTTCGTTAATCTCCTTCAAAATCTTCTCCAAAATGTGTTTTGTTGCCTTCCAACGCGTCTTGACCTGAAATTTGACGAGTTTAGGCTTTTATATCGCGTCCAAATTGAGTTCCAAGAGAGTTTTAACAAAAACAAGGAATTGCTGAAACGGCCCTCAAATTTTACCTATGTGACCGCATACGTATAAATTTTCTGGCATTTTTAGTTTCGGTAACCAAGCTCACGACCACATAGAATTAACACTTGTGGTCGCATAGAGGCACATTTTTTAAGATATTTATTTTGGTCCTTGAACTTTCTTTTCTTCCACTTTAACCTCATTTCTTCCTTCTTCTCAGTCCATCGACCAATATTAACCTCCAGTTGGTACTTGACTTGATCAAATCTTTTATTGTTGCTTCGTTTCACCTTTTGGACAATTGCATTTTAGTTCCTAGACTTTCATTTCTCTTCGTTCTTGACCTTTTTCTTGTCGTTCTTTCTCTGATCATCTAGCATTAACCCTGAGTTGATACCTAACTCGTTTGCCTTCTCAATTAACCTTTTAGTTCAGCTTTTAGATATTTGCTCTTTGGTCCCCGACATTTCACTTTGCTTTGTTTTGGCCCCTTTTCGAATCTTTTCTCGTGGATTCTAACATGTCCATCAATATAGCCTATGACATACAAATTAAATGAAATTAAGTCACAATTCAAACACTTTGCTCAGAATTTAGTCATGTTTGTGAACTAAATAAGTGTGTAAAAATGTACTTATCAGCGATCGAACGTACTGCTCCTATAAAAAGATGACTAATGTGGAGTTAGAGATGAAAAGGAAAAAATGACAAAATTATCATGAAACATACGTGCTTGTAGTCAGCTCCAAATTTATTTCAGCTTGTTGAGTTAAAAAATTGGATGTTTAGTGCGTAGGATCAATGGGATATGTAGTTGCCTTGGATATTATAATTGTGATAATTGCTCGACTTAGTAAGTCCGCTCACTTCAAAATGTTGAAATGTCCATTTTCAATTGTGGCCATGGCAAAAGCACTTACAAGGGAAAGTGTGTTGTTGTATGATGAATTAAGCAAACTGTAACAGCTTCTACCTTAAGAACAAGGTGGATTTTGGGGAGGAGAGACAAGTTGATTATGTTTCTCATAAGCGAAAATAAATAAAAGGGCAACTAAGCTTAACAAATGCAGTCAAGGCAGCTTAGTAATCGTGGGACAAAAATCTCTTATTATTTGTAGTTAGTAATCTTTTATCAATTGGGGAGAAAGATAGTGAATTTGTTAACAGATGTCAATAAATATGGTAGGCATGTGAATTAGATAATGTAAGCAACTAATAAGAATAGTGAGGAGAGCCAGGCCTCTCAAATGTCTTGGGGTTATTTTACTTCTATTTCATTTCATGAGTTCAATTATAGTGTTCATCTTTCTACAAATCAATAAATAATACATTTCATATACAATTTACTTCTTCCTATACTAATATTTTATATGCTAGACCTGGCGTCTAATAAATTCCATTGATTATTAGTTCTATAGGGTACAGAGAGCAGTAACAATGCCTCATTCACAGCAACTTCTAGTTCTGCAGTGTAAAATAGAACAGCTATGATAACTCAATCACGGCAACGTTAGTAGCATCTTCCAGGTTCCTATTAAGTGGTGATGGTGATGGTGGTGGTGAGGTGGTTGTGGTCTAGTAGTGGAGGTGGTGTTGACGATGGTCACATGTTCATAGAGTATACTGTTAAATGCTACCGGTCACATGTTCATTTGCACAGGTCACGGGTTCCTTATTACAAGTTGTAATTCAGTTATCAAAGTTCAATATGCATTTTTCACATGTCACAGGTCGCATGTATTAGTTTACAATTAATAGGTCACATGTGATATATCAATGTCCACAGGTCATAGATCAAATATATGATCATAAATCACTGTTTTATATTCACAGATTATAGGCCAAAATTCAAATTTCACATCTAACAGGTCATATTGCATAGGTCTAAAATCAATGTCAACAAGTCATAGATAATATTAACTGTCACAGATCAAATGTCACATGTTTTTGTGCACTGATAAAAGGTCATATATTCAAGTTACAAGTCATAGGTTATATTGCATAGGTAACAGATCAATGTCTATAGATCACAGATCGAAGAGAACTGATCACAAGCCATTGGATCAATATCACAGGTAACACTTTACAGGTCACAGGTCATATGTCACAATGCATAAGTCACATATCATAGATTCAAGAGAACTGATCACAGGCCTCTGGATAAATATTACATGTAATATTTTATAGGTGACATGTTACATGCCATGGTGCATAAGTCATAGATCTATCTCACCATTGCTACCTGCACCATCACCACTAATACAACACAACAACCAAAAATAAAAATCACTCCAAAATTTCGGCTAAGCAGCAAATTGGATCAAATCCAAAACCACCCCAAAACTCCATAGTCGTTGCCCCTATAGCGATGTCACACATGATGTCGAGGCTCGCCGTTGTTAAAGAGAAGTGAGAGAAAGAGGCTCACTGCTATTAGAGAGAAGGAGAGAGGGAGAGAAAAGATGATAGAGAGGAAAAAGAGAGAAATTAGAAAGTACATATAGAGATGAATGAGGAAATAATTTAATTTTATAATTTATTATATATATTATTTATCACCTGACTTTTGAATATTCAAAACTTATTACTTAAACTTGAAATGATGTATAGTAAACACCTTATAAATATATTGTTCCTTTAATTTATTTCATGTCAAGAATTTTCTTCGATTAGTTATATTTCCGAAAGTTGTGTTTTCATGGTACTTTAGATCTGTTGGACCAATTGTGGAGTGTTTATAAGTGTATAGTTTTTGAGCTACCTGTTGGGCTTCTTGATAAGACAAGCTTTTCATAGGGCAATTTAGACGAATACACTCAAACTTAGTATCAATTTGAAAAATAAGTACAAAGGATGACCTTAAAATAAATTATGCTTAATTTAAACATAAAAATGATAGAACACTGTCTAAATTTTAAATCTGTTAAATATCCCTAAATCCGATCGAAAAATTAGAACACTAACATGGCGAAATTAAAGCCCAAAAATCAATCAAATTTCTTTCCATAAAATTCAATTTTCTCAACTCATGGATTTTAAGTTTTAATTTCAACTTTTCGAAAGTCTAATATGATTTTAAGTTTTAATTTCAACTTTTCAAAAGTGTAATTTATCTTTAGATTAATAATTTTGCGTTGGAATATATTGAAATTAAAATTTGTATAAATCGAATTTAGTTAATATATATGAAAAATCAACTTTAAATCAATCCAAGTGATACATTCAAGGTGTTTGTGAAATTAAGAATATGTTTATCACTTTATCTGAAAAGATCGCAAACTATCTCATTCAAATTCTTTTAGAGCAATTAAATAGGTGCATACATGTATGTTTTTAAAAATTTAAATATGAATATGAATTCATAATTTGTTTTACATTAAAAAGTGACACGATGTAATGAATTGAATTGATTTAATGTAAATGAAAACATTGAAAAGTCAATTTTGAATCAATTCAAGTAATGCATGCAACGTGCTTATGAAAATGAGAGTGCAAAAAGTGACATTCTCTTTCACTTTTATTTGAAAATGTCACAATACATCTCATTCTAATTCTTTTAGAGCAATTAAATAGATGAACTCATATGTGTTTTTAAGAATTTAAATATGAATAGGAACTTAAACATTGATTTACATCAAAAAGTGACATGATGAAGCATTTTATATGGATTTTTGTTATTCGAATTCCTTTGAGCAATTAAATAGATGCACATGTGTATGTTTTTGAAAATTTAAATATTAATACGAATTCAAATCTTGTTTTACATTAAAAGTGACAAGAATTTGCATTTTTGGCAAACGAGTTGATTTGCTGAAAATTAAAAGTGACATACTCTGTCACCTTTTTTTCCAAAAAAAAAAAAAAAGTCTCACGCTATTTTATGTATATTCTTTTTGTAAATATCAATAAAATTAATATCTTTATTTGTTATAGAGGCAAATGTAAACAAGATCATGAATATAAGGTGATAAAATGATTGAAATTATTGTCACAATAGAATGCACATACAACAACCTTTGTTAAAACCTAATATCACTTTTTGTTAAAAAAAAGTAACATATCATGACAATTTTTTTAGAAGCTAAGTTTCAACACTATTAAAAGAGACCATGTTGTCATTATTATCATTGATATACAATTCCATCAATAAAATAATTTGTGTATCCTGATATTTACATATAAGCTAAATTTGGCAACAATTTTATATAGTTCAAAGTATAAAAAAGTGATATACCATGTCACGTTTTGAATGATCTAAATATATCAATACTAAAAATATCATGTCCCTTTAAACTAATATTCTTGTGATATGGTTAATTCTCAATCCTATTTAAAAAAAAAAAAAAGGACTACTGAACGATGGAAATGTGGCATGTGTTCTTGCTCGAACTGAACAGGTGGAACTTCTGTCCAAGAATACTGAGTCAGGATCTTAGGTTCGTATTTCACATCCAAACCAATTTGTCCGAAAGAGTGGTTGAGGCCCGTTCTTGAATTGCTGCTTTTCTGAGGATCGGTTATGTCTCCAATTAGAGCTTCCTTAGGTTCAGCCATCTGCACTGAAGCAATCTTCATATCCTCCACACAAATTTTGGAATCAACATTCTTAATAGGGACCTTGCTTCCACAAATACCAGAGCTTCCATTTGTAACGATATTTCGTGATGCATTGCTTGAAATCTGAAGGCAAACATTACCGGCAGTGTCTTTTGAGATGTCCGATTGCTTCATCCCACCAAATGAGGCTTTTAGCTTGTTTTCTTTCTGCAACCGACTTAAATAGAGGCGATACTTCTGAATGTATTAAAAAGAATACTTTAATTAAAATTTTCGTTATCAAAACGTAAATTGCGGAGAGTATTAACTCAAAGTAACTTAAGCTACACAGGTTCCCAATTCTGTTTAATTTAAGATGCGAGGCTCGTTGGAAACAGATAAAGACAGTTTTTGTCAAACAATACCTTCAAGCCGGTAACAGTAAAAGAAGTCGAATAATGATTACCTGCAAGTGGCTAGCAACGTTTTCTCTCGTTAACCAGGGCACTCCCATCGAGTCGAGTATTTTCTTAGGGCCAACTTCTGTCAAACATTAATAAGTACAATGTTTTTGTAAATTGACTTCATGATATAGATAAAATGAGATGAACGTGAAGAAATAAGAAACTTACTATCAAATCCAAACTGATTGACAGCTTTCACAAACTTCTGATGAAGTTCGACAGTCCAAACCACCCGAGCTTTCTTAACATAGTATGGATCACCATAATGTCTATCGTCCTGCTTGTTGTCAGCGTCTTTTCTTTTCTTTCCTGAAATTAGATCGGCTCCACAGAACAAGTAGCCATCATCAGATTGTTCCATACTGTTTCCCATCATCTGAATTTCTTCTAGGCCTTCATGACTTTCGATATCTTTCACCTCTTGTATCCTTTTTCTGAACACATGTTGCCATATATTTCGAAGCTCTTTCATTCTTATTGGTTTAAGAAGATAATCGCATGCACCATGCTGAACCCCTTTCATCACCATGCTTGTTTCTCCATCAACAGACGTCACTGTGTAGGTTCATTGATTACGATTTAGCATTTTATATCAACAGTAGAATTTACAGGAAACATGAACAAATATATGCAACAAAATACTCACTTATCACGGGAAGATCCATTTCTAACCCAACATGCTCTAGAAGCTTGAAACCATCCATGTCAGGCATGTTGACATCACTGATAACAATGTCAAATCCATCCTTTCTTTCTCGGAGTAAATCCAAAGCCTCTCTTGCAAGATTACATGTTGTTACTGAAACTCCCACCAAAAATAAAAATCAGTCGAAATTATTCAGAGACGTGTCATTTTTCAATGTCAAAGAGTAAATTTAAAAGTTAAAATACAAGTTTTCCATGAACCATCCTCACTCTTCCTGTACTGTCCTATGCATGGGTAAATTATTTTACTGATTATTATGTTCACTTGCAGAAATAAATGGTATTATGCAGGCATGCAAATCTAAAGAGAAATGTTTTAATCATTTCCATGCTGAAAGATAACCTTTCAGTAAAATTTTATACTGCATAAGTAAGTTCCGTATTCCAGCACGAATCTGAAGATTGGCATCACGAATCAGCAACTTTTTGATGAATACATAGGTTCTGCTCTCAGATTAGATGACTTGAGGAATTTTCTATAAACAGACCCAGGATCCAGCATCATTTCACTGCTTTGAAGTGTGACAAATAAATAAAGCAAGAGAAAACAAATTGGTGGCTACTATCATTATGACATGAAGTTCTAGAAGAGTCACTGTGCAGAAAAGACTGTAACACTGGTGAAATAAACAAATGGACAGAGAAATGCGAAGTAGAGGTGAAGATTTTAGTAGTTAATTCAAACTGTAGTGCAATCATTTTAAGGCCGTATGGGGTCACCTCGATACTAATTAACCAAGCAAAAACTATGGCTCGTCAAAAATCAATACCAGACAAACTAATGTTTTCTGCTCAAGAGAGTCGGTGCTGAGATCATTCATTCATGAGCATTAAACAAAGTAACCATTTAGTTCAAGCATATCCCGAGACTTCAATGTCTTCATATAAGTTTTATCTTGATCAAAACTCACAAGAACTTTCGCTTCTAACATACCTAGTAAAACCATTAACAGATTATATAGCTGCACTTTGTAGTCAACGATAAGAAACTCAAATTCATCCCAGTTATATAAGATTTCATCGTATTTGATTATTTTCACTTTTGTAAACTTCAGATCTATGTAGCAGCTAATCACAGCAATTGTAGACTCTGAAATTTAGGAACACTTTTATCTTAATGATGAATCGAGAAATTACGAGACGTTTAACATTGAACCTCAGATAACAGCTTCATATAAAGTAACAAAAGAAATATTCATACACAAGCTAGCACAAAACTTCACAGCTAAAGCTTTTGGGTTGAGTTGGGATATTTCCTTGTACACACCTCAGGTCCAACGGTTGTGAAAAACTAGACCCAATTTACCATAAGACCTCATCAAACTATAAGCACTTCCCTGTCGATCTTCAGCCATGTGGAACAGATAAGTAAGTCCCAATCAAAAATTACCATATCATTAAGTCTATTAAACTGGAATAGAGATTCTACTAGATAAATGTGGCATCCAGCATTTCAATTTTCTTTGACAGTCGTCTATATGGAATATGATACTTGAGCAATGTGATTTCAGAAACAAAACTCATAATTTAATATTGGTAACACTTAAATCTTAGAAACACTGGGGAGGAATAAATTTAAATTCCATATATGTTTGCACTGACTTTTAAAAGGTTAGTTATTTCGGAGGAGAATAATGCCAGCAATCAAATATATAGACTTAAAAAGAGGAAGAGAAAAAGAAAGATTTTTTTGTCTTCTCTTTCTGTAGCTTGATCATGTCAACTAATCGAGATCAAAATTAGAAAAATAGATGCAAAAATCTTTCTGCATCACATTATATTAAGAATCAAATCACTAAGGCATATATAAGGGTTAGAGCTTAAAATTTGTACCTCATCACTAAACTTCATCAGAAACCATCAATATTCAATACTGTAAACAAGATAAAATTTCAAATGAAACAAAAAAGTGCAAAAATAAAAAAAGGGAACTCAATTTCAAGATGAAGCAAAACCATAGATGCAGATTCCAAGCCTTCAACAAAAATCATTATAAGTGTGTGGTCGACAGTACATCGTATGGGATAGAACAGGACAGTATAGAAAACAAGATTTTAGCTTATTTTCTTGCTCCCTACCCAACATAATATAAATTCTCAGATAAATGTCCCATAAACCAACTCAAAACCTCAGTATAACACTAATACTAACACTAACACTAACACTAACACTAAAATCCTCCAAAAATCAAAAGAACAAAAAAACGAAAATCAACTAAAAATATGTCACAGTACATGAAAAAAGAAGATTAATTTCGCTGATAAACCATAAATAAAATATAACAAAATCACTCAAAAAAGAGATAAAACTTATACAAAGAGAACCTTCATATGAGCACTTTTTGAGCATCTTCTCAAGAATCTTCAACCAGATGCGATCATCGTCAACAACAAGAACCCCAAGACCCGCCGGAAAAGCATCGGGTCTGGGGGAAGAAAACCCAGTAGTCTCCATCCAGAAAGTTGAGCTTTTTGGGCAGGAAAGACAAATTAGTAATTTGTAGGACTGTGATATGTATATTTATTTATGTATAAAGATATGTGAATCGCAGAGAGAGACAGAGTTGAGAATTGAGAGTTTAAAAATGATGGAGTTCGTGCTTTTTAAGGGAAGAAGAGAACAAAGACTATTAGGCGCCGGCTGTATATCTTTGTAGTTAACGGTCCATGTGGACACCACTTTTTGGGCTCCGTTTTGTAACCCCCTTCACCTCCACCCCCACTTTCTTATTCTATAATGTATTTTGAAATCAATGATGATTTAGATTGCACTAATATGATATTAAATTAGAGATATTATTTTATCGAATCTATCACGTAAATATCATCTAAATTGATATTGCCATTCAAGTGATACTAATTAGCATTCCTCAATTTGCACACAAACACAATGATAAAATTGCATTGCTGATCATTATTGCTAACACAACTTAGAGGTTTTGTTGTGATGTGCTTTTGCTTAGTTATAAGACGATAGTGAGCGAATCTATTAACACTCTTTCTTGGTTCAAATTGCACAACTAGAGTTTTATGTATGAAGTACGAGATGTTAACAATCGTCATTTAGATATTATACTAAATTCAGTCTCGAATGTGATATACGCTATGCATCTTAGAGTTTCAGTGATATATTTCGATTATCTTCTATGTTATTTAGAAAGCATCAATCACCCATTCAAGTAAATAAATAAAAAATATTCAACCTATAAATTTAACTACTCGATTGCAGTAGACGAGCTCGACTATTTGAGTTATATCCCCTAATTTAAGTAGAGCATGTAAAGACATAAACAACTAAATACAATAAGCCCCCCGTTTGGCCCCCATTTTTTCGAAAGGGTGAAATAATATTTTTTTTTGGAGAATGAGTGGTTGAAAAAGAAGAAAAAATTTCGATTTACGAGTGATATTATTTTATAGAAGATTGTGTAATAGAAAATAGGAGAGAGAAAAATGAAATTTAATTTAATGGAAGCCAAATGGAGGCTAAGTTGGCATTAAAGTGATAATGAAGGAGCAAGACCATGAGCAATAAAGTTCTTTTTACAAGCTCGGAAGAAAGGAAGGGTGGCTTTCAAAAATTTGTGTTCAATTTAAAAAGGCTTAATTGTGATATGAATGTAAATGAATCGAGTCGAGTCGAGTCGAGCCGTCTCAAGCACGGCCCTGGCAAAAAATGGCTCGAGAAATTTTGGTCCAAATTGACTCAATTATTTTTTCCAGACAAGCGTTAGGTAGCGAACAACCTGCAAGCAGCTATTGCGAGGCTACCTGCCTGTGACACGGGCACATTTTGACCTGTAATGCGGGCCTACCGATGTGGCTCAAGCTCAAGCCGTCATCTGAAAAAGAGACTTGGCTCGAACCACAAGCCTAATTGACGAGCTGGATTGATATTTTCAATTGTGATACAGGAGAGTAATAGAAGAATGAGTTAAAGAAATTGTGATCAAGGTCACAATGAATACATGAAATTGGTTTATTGCTATTAAAATAATTTGGAATTTGAATTGAAAATATATACAGTTTATATTTGATACTTCATTCTCTATTGTCATGCATTAATATTATATTCATTAAAACAATAATGGACAAAATCAAGAAATTGATATTGATAGTTGACCTGACTAGTAAATAAGTATACCCTAATTACCAAGGTTACCTTAGAATTAAAAGTTTATTAATTGATGAACATCTATGAATATAATTGAAATAAAAAAAATAGTAAATTGTGAGACATGATTGGTGTATAATTCTTGACTCAAAATAATGAAATTGTTGCAAGATGATGGAAGTCAAGGACGTGTTCTGTAAAACTTGAGCATTTGCCCTGTTATTTTTCAAAGAATTTTGCTTGGAGTACATAATTTGATGTATCAAAGGGTGTACTCCACTTAAACTCTCATGGGTCCAACTCTCATGTGAGAGGGAGTACACCCTTTGGTACACCAAATTATATACCATTAGCTTTATCCCTTTTGAAAATACTTTGATGGTAAGTATCTGAGTTTTGAATAAATCCCTCAATCTTCACAAAAATGGCATTCGGAACAATCTTACAAGTGTTTATTGAGAGTTTTACTTTTATGAGGCCGGAAAGTGGATAAAGTGTGTCTCCAACTATGCCTGTAGCAAGAAATAATAATAAATGTGCTTTAGCCCAATGATTTACCCAGTGCGCATTCGAAGGGTAGCGGGTTCTCCCGTCATCAAAAAGATATAATAATAAATGATACTATCACTTTAAAATTGCTATGAAACTTTTACCTATCTTTATTTATTTCACGACGATGATCACACATTTGTCATTTCATTTTTTCTACACTTTGATTGTGATAACATATACTTTCAAATGCCAAATTTAGAACATGCACCTAAACCTTGGAAAGTGTGTTATTCTTAAGTAGAGTAATTATATTGGTGTAATCATTTAAGCAGCAGAACTATTTTTTTCACCTCTTCAAAAGCATTATTATAGATAATGTAAAGGCAAATTTAATTAATGGCCTTAAATTGATTAAGCAAATAGTTGAGGTACAATTGGTTTGACAACGAACCATGTTAAATATCACTTTTGGCACTATGATTTCATTTTCTTGTCTTAAAAAATAAATAAATAATTAATTAATTCGATATGTTTCCAGTATAAAATATTAGATTAAATTATGCAAAGCACAAATTTTTTTTAAATAAAAAGAAAAAAAAATCTATCAAATATGTCCACAAATTAATACATCTTAAATCTAACTTTATATTTTCAAGAATTTCCAAACAACCTATAAATAATAATAAGACTTTAAGGGTGCATTGGTCTTCGATTTTTCAAGTTATTTCTAGTTTTTAATTTTCAAAACACTGAAAGCATGCTTAATTTGGCATTTTTGAAAACACATTTTGGAATATAAGATTAAACTTAACATAAAACTCAAGCGTATTTTTACTTAAAATTCTGAAAATATTCAAAACATAAAACAAGCGTTCAAATAATTTTTTTTAAATATTTAAAAAAAATTTAAAAGTAAAAATATAAATATAAAATTCTAACAATAAAATTTAATAATTCAAAAAATGTAAATTCTAGATTTCTATAAAAATAAATTAAATTCTAAATTTCTGTAAAAATAAAAAGTAAAAAATCTAAAAAAAATTATAATTTTTTTAAAAAAATAAAAAAACTAAAATATCTAAAGTTCTTAATGATTATTTACATAAAAATTCTAAAAATATATTTAAATGAACATGGATAAAATTATTCTCAATACATATCAATAATTCATTTCCTATATTTTATATTCAATTTATTGTTTATTATTATTTTATTTTTGTAGTGAGGAAAAATATTCTAAAATTCTTCATTTGTTATTATATTAACATAAAAATGTTCAATTTTTACTGAATAATCAAGTTTTACGGAATAAAATGTCATAAACTATTATTTCAAAATTCCAAACCAAACATATTTTCTAATTTTCTATTTTGAGAAATAATTTTTCAAAATGATAAATCAACCACATTTTTAACAATCTTAAAACAAACTCTCAAAACAGAAAATTGAAAATAAATTCCAAATTGAAAATGAAAAACTGAAAAATAGACTAAATAAGTCCTA